CCATCCTCTACGTCTGTGGCTTCGCCTCCAGCGTCCTTTTTGGGGTGGTTTCCTCCTCTTTAATCGACCGCTTGGGTCGGAAGAAATCCTGCGTCCTTTTTTCCTTGACGTACTCGGTCTGTTGCTTGGTGAAGCTTTCCCGGGATTACCTGGTGCTGGCAGTGGGGAGGGTTTTGGGGGGGTTGTCCACGGCGTTGCTCTTCTCCGCCTTCGAGGCGTGGTACGTCCACGAGCACGTGGAGCGCCACGACTTCCCCCCGGAGTGGATCGCCGTCACCTTCTCCCGCGCGGCTTTTTGGAACAACGCCCTCGCCGTGGGGGCCGGGGGAGCGGCCGAATTCTTCGCCGAGGGGTTGGGGTGGGGCCCGGTGGCTCCATTCATGGTCTCCATCCCCCTCCTGGTGCTCTCGGGGAGTTTCGCCGTCAAGAACTGGGATGAAAACTACGGGAAGAACCGCGCTTTTCCCAAAACCTGCGGCGAGGGGTTGAGGTGCCTCCTCGGCGACCGGCGCGTCCTCCTCCTGGGCACCGTCCAGGCGTTGTTCGAAAGCGTCATCTACATCTTCATCTTCCTCTGGACCCCCGTGCTGGACCCCCACGGTGCTCCCTTGGGCGTCGTCTTCTCCGCCTTCATGGCCGCCAGCGCGCTGGGCTCCTCGCTCTACCGCCTGGCCGTGGCGGCGCCGTACGGCCTCCAGCCCACCCACCTCCTCTGCCTCGCCATCCTCTTCCTCTTCTTCTCCCTCTTCATGCTCACCTTCTCCACCAGCCCCGGCCAGGAGAGCCCCGCCGAGTCCTTCCTCGCCTTCCTCCTCATCGAGCTCTCCTGCGGGCTCTACTTCCCGGCCATGGGCTTCCTGCGGCGCAAAGTGGTGCCGGAGAAGCACCGCGCCGGGGTGACCAACTGGTTTCGCCTCCCTTTGCACTTACTGGCCTGCCTGGGTTTACTGGTTCTCCACGGCAGCGACGGGCGGACGGGCACGAGGAGCATGTTCGGGCTC